GTACCTGTGACCTTTCCCAAGGTGTGCTGGATGCAGCCCGCTGTGCATTTAGGATGATGGTGACATTACTGATAATGTACCAATTTGTTGCATCCGTTGCATTCTTTTATCTTATTCTGTCCATTTGCTAAAGGATAAGCTAATCTATTTCAGCCAGTTTTAATTACACAGCACCACTCACATACAGTCTTGGATACTGTGTATCAAAACATTTCGTGGCGGCGTGTTACTCTGCTACTCTGCTATTGCCATCTCTTTACTGGAACGCTTCTATCGGTAGCCTGCTTCAACGGGAGAAAGGTAGGGGATAGGCAGCAATACAGTCGGTTTCCCAGCACATCGTGTTGGTTTGTAGGAGGTGGTTTCTGGTACCAGAGAGTGGCAAACCATTTTGAATGCCTTCAGTCATAAGCAAAAGTGAAGTATGATGACTTTAGTCACAGTAGCCCTGCCTAATCAAAACAGGGATTAATGTATCTCTCTCAAGGATGCCTGCTTATTTATATATATGAAATGCCTTCATATCTACATATTTTATAGTGGCTTTTCCACTGCAAAGTCCTTACATTCAGGATTTCTCCATAGCACAGAAAGTCCTCATCAATTTTTGGAAACAATGAGAATGTGCATACACGAAACAGAGAATCTGTGTTTCCTGACCTGGACTGATTAAAAGGCCTGATTAAAGGGCCTTTCTAAGGACCAGACCTCCCCGTGCATATCATTTGCAACTGTCGGGCTCCTTGACTCTGAGGAGAAGAGGCAAGAATAACAGAATGCTGGTCAGGCAGTTCCAGGGTCCACCAATATACTTCCTTCTCAAGTTAGTCAATAAATACGAGATCTTGCACTTCAGCTGAAGTCATGCCCAGGTGACTATCACTCTTGTGGCCAGACAAACCCTTCAGGCATGTCTGGATCCGTGTTAATCTTCCTTCTTTCATATGAGTCATTTGTGATATGGAAATGTAGATGAGACTAAATTTCTGTTAGACGGATGTATAACTGGTTGGAAAGCTGTTCTCAAGAAACAGTTAATTATGCTTCACTGTCAGACTGGGTGCATTAAAGCATGTTCTCCAGGGACTGTACAATATTTAATTCATGACTTAAGAGATGGAATTAGCACTTAATGCTAGTGATACTACCTGGAAGAATACTACAAGATAGTAATATGATCTGAAGAAATTAGTTTAAGAATTGAGTTCAAAGAATGACGTCTACTGACAATAAAGATGAATGCTAACTTCTGTGTTAATACAGAAGTAATCTTTTGCATAAATGCAGGTGAGGTAGAACTGAGTAAGCGACAGTTCTGAACTGGAGACGATAGGTGGATCACAAGTTGCACGTGAGAGCAGCGTAAGGTGTAACTGTTGTACTGGAATATATAGAATGGAGGATTATTTGTAAAGCATACAGAGTGGTTCTTTTATTCTTCGCGACACTGGAAAAGGCTTCTCTCTGGTTTGGGGCACCACAGCTGGAGAAGGATTCCGACCAACTGGACAGGTTCCAGAGGAGAACAAAAGAATGATCAGAAACCTAGAAAACAAGATTTGTGAGAAAATGTTGAATAAATAGAGTTTGTTTAATCTGAAGAAGAGGAAACTGAGGAAATACATCTGTCTTCAAATACAGAAGAATTTAAAAAGAGAAGACAATAAAGCTTTTTCTATGTCCACTGCAAAACCAGTTCAGGGCAAATAGCAACAGAAGGTTTCTAACTGTATTTTTGGTGTTAGATAATGAGGCACTGAGACACATTGCCTGGGGAAGTTCTGAAGTCCTCATCATGTTCAAGAACAGGTAAATCAGGTATCTGTGAGGGATAGTTTTAAGTTGATCCTTCAGACCAACAGAATAGTCTTGATGACCTTTCATGGTCTCCTCAGACCTATTTTCTATGAATGTCAATGATTTTTTTTCTCACAAGTTAATTTGTAAGGTCTGCTCCTCCCTATTGGTTTAATCCTGATCCCACAGCCAAGGCAGCTGCTGTCCCCTCATTCTGTATAATTTTATGGTAAGCAAGAGAATCTCTCTTGCTGCTTAGGACAGGATAGCTGAAGCAGCTGTGGTAGCAAAGAAACATATTTGTCTATCAATGAAATGTCCCAGGACTATGTTTTTCTCTCAATCTGTCACGACCCTGTGTGCACTAATAGGCCTTAATGGCCATGACCTGTGTCACTTAGGGCGTCTACCCACACCTGTGGGCACAGGAGCTCCAGTTCAGCTCAGCCCTGGGCTTTTAGTCCATGTCAGAGCTATGCTTGTATAGGTACCGATCTTCAGCTCAGCTACAGCCATGCCTGTATGTTACTAGAGGCATGGATCCAGACACAAACTCACAGACTGACTTCCTAGTTTAACCTCAGGCCTGTGGACCCACCTGGAGATCAGTGGGCTGTGTTCAGTCAGGGTTACTCTCGCTGAACCTGATCCCAGCCTATGGACTGACGTCCCAGCTGAACCTCGGATCTGCCTCGTCACCACGGACTCACCTGACGATATACTCTCTTGGCTGAACAAGTCTCAGGTCTGGCCGCACTGTGGGGTTGGGCCCTGGCTGGCGAGGCCCCTGTGCTGCCAGCCGTGTTACGACACTCAGCTCATGGCTACCCTTTGCTTGGGCAGCAGCCAGCCTCTGCGGCACCCTGGCACTGTCTGCGAACGCGGGACTTTGCAGCCCTCTGCTATGTCAGTTTTGGTATGTCCCATCTCACGCCATAGCTGCTGGGGAGGTCGTGTCACTAGAAGATCCATGCTCTTTGGTAGGAAAGTTCTTGTCAGCAGTACGAAGAGCAGCAGGAGATGCATGAAACCAGCAAAATAAGTTGGGATGTCGGGCTGGTGTCTTCAGGTCAGCCTCCACCAACTGCCACTCACAGCCATCCAGGACTGTTTGCTGGTACTAAAGGAGTGCATTTCTGTCTTTGGTTCTGGTGAGGATCTTTCCTTGTCAACTCTTCTGCTCTCTCGCTATATCGTACATACGTGTGCGTATGTATATATACACACATAAATATTTACGTGTATCACCAGCTGCGCAAGTTCCCTGGGGGATGGTTAAACCATTACTCCTGCACATAATCTTCAGGTGTCCACTGACTGAATCAAGTAACTTGCTTATGCCTCAGACCCAGGTGTCCCGAGCTAGTCTTCGGAGGTGTTTTTCCTAGTTATGACTTCATCCAGGAAGGCAGGTGAGAGCCAAACCCTGTTTGGATACAGATGGCTTCCTTTAAGAAAATGTGTCCCTGCACACCTGTCATAAGCATCTCCTGAACATGGTTTTGGTGTCTTCATCTTATCCAGAGGACTGACATACTTTCATTCTTTCTTGACGGAAGAAGTTTATAGAGGAAAGGCATCTTTGGACTTTTGTTGTTAAGAGGCCTTTGACTTTTTACCTACACAGGACTAGGTCTTTCATATCCAGAGTTGTTTGTGTCAGCAGCTGAGGGCTGACAGTCAGGAGTGCCAAGCAGGATAACCACCAGTGAAACCTGTTTGAAAACACCAAAAAGGAGCCACCCTCCAAGATTAACACACATTCCATCAGAGCTCAGTCTAAATTAGTGGCTTTCTTGAGTGGTATCTCCATTGCTGACATCTGCTGAACTACTACCAGGAGTTCCCTCCACACCTTTACCAAGTGTTTTGCCATTTCAGAAGCATCCAGGTATAACACAGTATGTGGTAACATGTTTCTGCAGTGGTTGATGCATGAAGCATGCTATGTCAGCCTACCAAGCACTGTGATTGTTAGGAGGAACTGCAGTAGGAATATAAATACGGGTAATCTATATTAATAATTTCTGTTCTGAAGATTAAAAAAAGACTTACATATCAGTTAATGAAACTGTTAAAGGTGTGCTGTTCATGAGCACGCTCCCTTCACACACTCCTACTCCATGGTGCTGGAGTCTTTTTCAGGACTCTCAGCCTTGGGATTCTGTGAAGTAAAAGGAAGTTCAACAGTCTCCACGTTGTGTGGGGAGCAAAGGCAACAAGCCTGATAGAAAAGCAGTGGAAGGTAAGCTCGTCTGTTGAAGACTGCATGGATATGAAACTACCTGTCGCAGGGTTTTGTGGGACATACAATGTGCACAGGCATGTAGTAGATAGATAGATAGATAGATAGATAGAGGTATTTGTGAAATAACTTTCCTCTTGCTGTTGCAGGTTTCACCTCAGAAAGTAGAACTTAATGAAGGATTATAAGAGTCCATCCTTTTGAACATGCATATGATAATGCCCACTAATAAATAGTTTTTTTCTTCTGATAAGAACGTTACTTCTTATTGTTGTTTTTAATAGAAGAACAGAAGTCGCCTTAGATATTGTGATTCCTGGAACAGTGATGAACCATTTCAGCAAAAACATCAGCCTATGTGATCATGCTGTCGTAAGGCTTGACATCACTGCTCTTGACTGGACCGCTCACCTTCTCTTCAAGTAATGCTACTGATTTCAGCAGCAGTATTTGAAAAGAAAGAGAGTGCTTCACAGTATGAGAATGGGTGGTACAATTTGGCCTGTAATCCTTTACTGTGAGGTTTCTGGGGGGCGGGGGGAGGGGGAGAAGAGCATTTATTTCAGAGTAAGGATAATATTGCTGTAGTGTCATATTAACATTGGAAATAGTATTTTAGTGAACTATGTGAACTGTAGTACACAGCTAGACACATCGGAATGAAGTGGAGCTCATCCCGTTTGGATTTCTTCCATCTAATTTTGTTTTCCGAAGCTACATCCGTTTTTGCACAAAGAGGATAATCTAGGCAAAGCTGAATAAAGTCATAGCCCCTGACTGCAGGGCTTGGTTTTATGGCTGGTGCTTCTTCAGGGCACAAAAATGAAACAGGAAACTCCTTATGTCCTGCCATGTTGCACATATGCACATGGACCTGTCTGTCTCTTTTTCAGACATTTGTTTCTTTCAGTTTGTGAATATTGGTGTAATTGTATTTCTTTTTGTTTGTTTCTTTCAGAATGTTCTAATTGTGGAGGTAAGTCAGGTGCTTATGTCATATCCTACTTAGATGAAGTCACATAGTCAACTTGTGATTGTGTGCTCAGTTTCTAAAACCCATCTGTGTTTACACTCCTTTAGCTGGGAGGTGCTGAAGAGGGAGAGGGGTTGATTTGCTTAATGACCTCTCAGTCTTTTTGCAGTTGCATGACGGATCAAACTACATTGCTGCCACTCTGATTTGTACTCTGGCTTGTGATAGCCAGGAGTCTTTGTTTCTGCGTCGTTTGATTTGTTCCTTCTATGGTTTCATCAGCTCCTGTTCTGCAAGTTGTTCTGTCCCTTGGAGGACAACGAATCAACTGCAGTGATGCACTACGCTCCTCAGCTGCATGACTTTGAAATAGTAGCACAGCCCTACGCATGCTTTACAACTTCAGGGCTGTTCACACGCTGGTTGAGAGTGTCAGTCATGCTCTCGAGTCCCCATGACGCTGCTCGTTAGCGCTGCATCCTGCAGTGTCCCCCAGGGAGGGCCCATCACAGATATGTTGCTGATGTGAACCAACAGCCTTTGGTTGTAGAGGAAAAGCATGTGTCACCTCACTGGTGCTGTAAATGCTTAATTAATGCAGGTGATTCTCTTTTAAAATGTTGGAAAAGCAGCTCGGACAGTTAGCGAGCACGTCAGGATCTGACTGGCATTTCAGGCTCAGTCGGCTGGTGTGAGAAGCTGGACGGTGTAATCAAGGAAATGTAGAAATGTTGTAATGTCTTTCGGTAGCAAAGGAGGGCAGAAACGTCGTCAGCCACAGAGATGGCTGATTACCTGAATGACTCTTAGGAGCCCCATGTTTGCTAATGCTAACTGCCGCAACAGAAGTGAAAAACTCCACAGCAATTTCTGTTAATGCCATTAGGTAGCTGGGGAGCAGAGACAAGGTGTTGCGCGTGAAAAATACCCACCCGCCGAGTTCAGGATCAGCAGCTGCTCTCCATGTTGCGGTCAGTTTTGTAGCCAGGTGTCTACTGATCTCATCCACGTCAGGTTGAGTACAGCAGCTCTGGAGAATACTCGTTTGTGCTGGAGTAATAAAACAACAAATAGGGCAGATTTAGCCCTGACAAGGAGAGATGTTGACGTACTGTAGTCTTGAGCATAATACGAAAAGTCTGATCCATGCATCCTTGCAGTGTCGAGTGAAGTCATCTCCAGTCCCATGTTGCATCCCAAGTACTAGAAACATAGCTGTTTTCAAGAGCAAGTGGACAGTCCTTTAACTGATGATTTTATGAGTGGAAAGTGCTTGCTTCAAAGAGTGTGAGCTCAGTTATAATCTTTTTTGGATGTGCCTCACAGTGCTCTGGGAAAAATACATGATTTCCACAAGATAAGATGGTGGAACTGCTCAGTCATTGTCCAGATTTCCTCTTTTCAGCTTTCCTTTGTATTTTACTTATTCTATTTTTCCTGTTTTGTAAGGATATTGTTGGAACTGGAAGGACTATGAAGGTTCTGCTTAATAATATAGAAAAATACAAACCAAAAATGATTAAAGTGGCAAGGTGAGTAAAACGATCACAAAACTTAGTAGTTAATTAGTCTAGCCCAACATATGTGGAGGTTCCCATTCCGAGATCCTGCTTGAATTCGATGCCACAGTATGGCGTGGGGAGCTCTGCAGAAGAGCTGCCTGAGTCACGAAGAGGAGGGTGGAGGGAAGGGGAGGCAATGCTTCTGTGTTGTTCTGCAGCAGCAGTGACCCTTCAGCCGTTTCCAGACTGGCACTGGTGGAGTTTGAAGGGGAACACACCCGTCTCTTCCCTGCCACCAGGACATTGTCGGGAGGAGAAGCAGAACGAGAACAGGGATTCATGTGGCTTGGAAGTGTTTTGATATAGGGAATAGTTTTTATGCATGTTTTTCAGGTAAATATATCTACATGGGTTTTGTTTTGTTTTTAATTACAGTTTGTTGGTGAAAAGAACATCTCGGCCTGATGGGTACAGACCGGATTGTAAGTGTTTTTGTCAGAATCTGTACATACCAGTAGAAGAAGTTACCACTGTTCTACCACTTGCCTTTCATATCATTCTATGGACTGCTAGAAGCATTGTAAAGTATCGGTTGTCAATGGGACTATGGGATGCAATGGAAGGATTCGTGCAGTTGTGGTTTAGAAAGCTTAGCCTCCTTATAGTCTGATGTTTTCTGCAGAGTACTAACTTTACAGGAAAGTTGTGAAAGGGTTTTATTTTATCCGTGAAAGATGATTTAATTTAAGAAGCATTTGACATGTTTTGGTAGTGCAATATGGAAACCAGTTTTTGCTGTTCTCAGAAGAAAATCTATAAATCTCTGAACGTTACTTCTGAATTAAAAATGTCCTTTTTTTCATCCTTATTGTGATACTAAAGAGTTGTCATCACACACATATACCAATGGAACTTCCAAACGTAGCCAGAATTTTTCAGCTCTGATTTTGGCTTCCTTCCACAATTGTGCCACTGAGAACTGTACACCACTCTCCTACTCTCCACCAGCTATTCACATCCCTGTCACAAAGAGTCTATGAGCGGGAACTGGGTATGGGGATGGGGCTGCTGCTGACCTTGATGTCTCAGAGTCAAAAGTAACATAACCTGAACTGACTATATGTATCTATAGTTTGCTTGTCAGAGAACCAACACAGGAATTTAAGGGCTATATAATTGCCACTGGTCTTGTATTGATGGTGTTTGTTATTTGTCTCAATACAGATTATGGATTCGAAATTCCAGATTTGTTTGTGGTAGGTTATGCCTTAGACTACAACGAGCACTTCAGAGATCTAAACGTAAGTTTACCTAAAAGAAATAGTTTAAAAGTCAGTGTTTTACTTTTCCAGGGTGTCTTAAATACCCCATAATTTGCTTCTTCCCTGGGGCCTTAATGTCGTGGTTGGGATCATTTCAGTGAGTGTAGAACTCCCTGCAAAACCTCAAATAATCCAAAGGAGTCCCAGCTCAGCACTGCGAACGGCTCCTTCCCATCGCTTCCCCCTAAGAGCAGAATCATACCTCTGCTATGCTTCTGTCTCCTGCGAGCCCAGGGCTTCACGGGTCCACCATTCCCAGTACGTGCAGGGACAGCAGGGAAAAGTGAAACACAGCTACAGTCCAGACAGGTTTGGACTTTCACTGCTCTGTTGTCTGCCCCTTTTCTCAGTGAGATAATGATGGACAAAAAGGTGCAAGCCTTGCCTTTGCTTCCTGTGGTACTCCTGGGGTGGGCCTCAGAGTTGGGAATTGCAAGTGGAAAAACTTGCTGTGGCTAGAAAGTGAAATCAGAATTCAATTCCAGGTCTCTGGAAAGGAAAGGGTAATTACAACATCACTAGATTGGTCCAGTGAAAAGTATTTCTGAACAATTCATTAATAATTAATAATGTAATCAACTGTGCTGTTGCAATCAGCTTTATACTTTTTTCAGCACATATGTGTGATCAATGATCACGGCAAAGCAAAATACAGAGTCTGAAGTGGTAACATCCTCACCTGAAGATCTGTACGCTCCGTGAAGCAGAAATTTGACTGCACTCCCTCAAGCATCTCCCAGAAGAGAGGTTCGACTGACTTGTGTTTCTTTCAACTCAGTATAATAAGGGGTTTACTCTAGAGATACTGATTAATATTCACAGAAGTGAGAGCTCTTATCTGAAATGTGAAGTAGAGGGCTTTTAAAGTGATTACCTTTTTTAAGTATTAAAATTACCACATAAGATGCCTTTTGACTGATAATTTGTCTGCCTCAAGTCTCATTGTGAATGCTTCTTTTCTTCTCTCAGTCCGTCTCTCTACCTGTTGCAAGTCATGCACGTCGCTGCATTGCAGAAGATCACTCAAAAGCGCCAGTCTGTGCACGAAGATTATTTTACAGAGTATTAATGAATTCAGCATCCTTTTAGTCTTGGTCAGATATGCTGCTGCCAAGTTGAAAGTACTGTTTTGATTTAATTCCGCAATGCAAAAGTTTCAGCTGCAGCTGTATGTTGTGTGATAATACATTTCTAGCAGTTCACCATTGCCTCCTCCAAGCAGAAGGTTTAACTCTCAGAACGTGCTGAACTACAGTGCTGGTACAAAATGAGCCTTTGCAAGACACCGGTGATCTGAAATTGGAGGATGTCACTGTTTTGGTATGTCATGTAGCCATAGATTTGAACTGTTTCATGTGCTGAATTTTAATCAAGAGAAAACAATGCCAGGCAGGTTTCGATTTCTGCACGGTATCCTTTCACTTCTGTGGGACACAAACAAGCGAAAAAAACTAACATAGTGTTCTCCTGTGTATGTATTCTTAATTAAACCTCATTAAGAACAAATGTTTAATGCTTGTCAGACAGTTATTCAGTTGTAATTTGATTTTTGTAGCATGTCTAAGTTGAGACTTTTTGTAACCATTTGCCGTCTTTAAGAATACAGATCTGATGATGTTGGAGACTTGTCTGAAAACAGGAAAAAAATGTATAGGAAAACAAGTTCACCTATGAATACTGTAGACTATAGAGAGTCCTTCCTTCCCGTATACATTGTGTTTGAAGAAGTTTGTTAACTTATGTGCTGTATTAGGAGTGAAAGATTCATTTCTGTACTGTGTGTAACTGTTCTCAACAACTTCCCGAGGGAAGCCAGTGCGAAGTCAGTAGCTGCATGTCGATAGCTTTGCTCTGAACTGTAAGAGGCAGATCGTTATTAGCTTCAGGTTTCTTTAAACTAATAAAGGAACAGTGAGAACACTTGTTACATTGCACAGTTTCTTTTCCTGCTTCAACATATTTCACACATCCCGTAAAAGCTCTTCAAAAATATGCATTTCATTGATAATCTGGACGTGCCTTATATATGTAACCTGTGGCTCATAAGCTATCGCTGTGTGGATAAAATCCATGATGCTAATGGCATGAAGAAATAAGATCAGAGAATTACTGTGGTTGCTAGAGAAATGCTTTAGCCCGCTCTTCTTTACTTTTATGACCTATATTTCTGTTCTGCTGAAAAGCTTTCCCTCACAGAACAACTTCTGTTATAGAGAAGAAAGCACACCCATACAGCCCCTGGAAGGAGCTGGCAAAAAAAGTTTCATCTCTTTTATGAGAGTGTTACATTTTTTCTTAATGCTTCTGATTTCTATGGATTTAGTAGCATTGGCATGCTGCGAAGGCAGACATGCTTAGGCTTAGGCCAGGAGATCCAGTAGGTTATTTCCTTTTTAGCTCTCTTCTTAAAAAAGTGCAGTCCAATTCGCCTTGCTACGTGATCAGCCTTCAGCAACAACAACAACAACAATGTAACAAGTGAATTAGTCTGAAATTTGTGTGAAAATACGAGTACTATAGATGCACGTAGTTCAGGCTGTGTTAAAGTTGTTTCATTGGAAGACTCAGATTATTAAAATTGACATACTTAATGGAAAAGACCAGAGTTACAGAAAAGATAAGAAGAAGAACTGGAATGTTTCTTCAAATTAATTTTATTTCCTACTGCCATGATGTTTTTAATGTTGTGATAAAGCACCGTACAGATTTCAGCAGTGAATTTGGATGTGGAGTTGTACTGTGAATAAGAACTGCTCTGGACTTGATGATCTTGGAGGTCTTTTCCAACCTTAATGATTCTATGGTTCTGTGATTCTCCTCTAACAGCATATTTGAATTTTGTACCTTTATGTGTCTGAGCATGTCCAGATGTCTCAGTTAGCATTCCACGTTACTCTCTGCTTGAAGCACTTCCATCTGAAAAACGAGTTTTCAGTTACTTTAATAATCTGATTCCAAAATATCATTAGTGTAGCTGAGGCAACAGGTAATTATGCATGTATGTCTGATTATTATTCGGTCTAGTTTCTTCAGTGTGCTCAGATAGTTCAAAACAGTGTGCTCAGTACTGTTTTTCTGTAGCTGTCTCCTGGATTCCCCGTGTCACAATGTGCTGTAACTAAAAGGCCACGAAACATTTTTTCAGTTGCGGTTGCACCCTATGACCCACAGTGTTGGTTTTTTTTTCCAAACCCGTTCAGCAACATCTGTTGCTGAAGCAGAGAGGATGTTCTTTACAATCGGTTATTTTCCTGGACATCGTGTTTTATGTATTTGGCAGGCATCCATTTTTATCTCAGTTTTTCTTCTCATGCACTCTTAACACCCGCATCTTTTCCCTACCTGTTGAATACAAATTAACATGGGCAGTAATTTGTTTTCAAGTTAAATAAATGTTTAGCAGCCGTCAGGTTTTAGACTTTATTCCGTTCATTCATGCTTACATCTGGTCCAGTTTCAAAATATCTGAAAGTGATTTTCTGGAGAGAAAGCAAAAATAGAAGAATAATTCCTGCAGCTTATGATGTTAACTAAGCATCATTTAGGATTTCATGTTAGAAGCTATGGTCTGAATATCTAGTAGTTTCTGCTTAAAAGATAGAATTTAAACAGTCTAAAAGGTCTGTAATTAAAATATTTTTTGCAAGTCAATTAGCTGCTGCACTCTAGTATTTATAGTTGAACAAAGTAGAAAATAGTATCTGGTTTTTTGGTTGCCTACTATTAGTGTTATATTTCCTGACCATATTATGTTAAGTCTCAAAGTTCTACTACTGAATTTCTATAATGTAAAATTCCAACATTTCCCCCCAGAATAAAATGTCAACTGTATGTGGTATTCAGCTGCAGAACAGTTTCTGGTCTGTCAAAGAGTCAGATCATCAGTTTATACACAGTAAAATGCTTAACTTGGAGATTTGTTCATGTCGTGAGTTATCATTATTGCTCTGTGGTGAGAATAACATGTATTTCAATAAAAATACTGGAGTTTTAAATTTTAGTATTTCTTCAGACTGAAGAAGACAAGGGCTAGATCAGCTTCTGTGCATATGTTTGCATTCTGATTTTCTCGGAAAAAATAGCAGTGAAAACCTCTATTGTAATCCAGCTTGTTACACATGCAGACTGTAATTGATTCTAGCTGCCTAGAAAACTTCAATTTTTATCTTCAGTTAAAAACGAGAATCTCAGAAGTAAAACATTACAGGGTAGCATAGCAAGAGACAGAGGGATCCTTGCCCTTTTGTAAAACCATCACATTTGGGGATGTTTTCCCCTTCTTTCACCTTCTAAATGTTTTCCAAAAGCTCTGATAGTCTACGTATAACGATCTGAGATGAATGCAATATCTAAGCGTACTGTGAACGGTATCCTGAAGTCTTTTCCTCCTGAGACTGCAGGGAGGAATTTACACCTACAGGTTAATGCAGGTGTGCGTTGCCTCTGCTCAGTCTCCCAAAGGCTGGCTCTGGCCGTGCTGGCTGGCGAGCGTGGGGTGGCTGAAGCTGGTGGGTCGGCCTCTCCCTGCGTGGAGGTCAGCGGTCCACAGGCAAGACCCCAGAGGCGAGAGAAGCAGAGTCTCGGGTGCTTTACCCGTCCGCCGCTCAACAAAGAGAAAATAAAGTGGAGGGAAAATAAAATATTTCATCCTAATTTCATACACCTTTCACAATTATTCATTTAATGCTGTACGCCTTCCTCTGGGAAGCTGGCCGCAGACGGCGATCGCCGTACCTGAACGAAGAGTGCTTGTACCACCAGGGAAGGACTGCTGGGTTTGCCAGAGCAGCCAGAACACCGCAACAACCAGTGGCCAGCTGGAAACGACTGACCACAGGCTGTAAACTATACGGTGGGATTATTTTGTGGTCATAAAAGGATAATTCTTTGTTAAGAAAAAGCAATAGTCTGCAGTTACCGTAACATAAAATAGAGAAGGGAGTGCTAACATATTGGAGAAAGGTTGTCATTTATTTTGCAGAAAAGATGGAGAATACCCGATATTTCTGAGGAGGGAAAAAGGAGACATCTGTTCTGGGTGAGGCTCTGCCAGCCCCTGGGAGGTTGTCAGCTGCAGTTCAGATGCTTTTTTGTGCTGCTGCGAAGTGCTGGCTGATGCTCCCTCCCCGGCGATGACCTGGCGCTTGGCTTCTCAGTACCTTCACTCGCACACCTGTATCCACAGCTGAGCTTCTCACTGTTGCCGGTGGTTGTTTTGGAACACAAAGAGGGTTCCAAATCTGCAGAAATTTAGACTCAGTTAAATACTTTGCTGTCATGCCTTGTTCCTTCTGCTGCTGCACGGAGCAATGAGCTACCGACACACTGCTGGACTTTGCAGTACAGCAATTTATTTGTAACACTGAAAGAGAAGAAGGTTTGGATACCATTCAAAGGCTGACCTTTAGTTTGTTTCAGGAGTGGCATGAAAGATTTCCCCTTTTTTTCTGTAGCACAAAGAAACAAAAATGGCTTGTATTATTGTGATCTTAGCAGTCGCTCTTAGACCTGCGTGCTTGGGCCTCTGATCATGGTAAGACAATCTCATTTCTAATCACAATGCAGAATTTCATCGCATTAAATCATTACTACACATGTTCCAAAATCCATTGGTCCTACTGTTAGTAAAGCTTTGTACACTTGTCTACACTGTTCAGTCATGAGGTTATACAAGGGGCAACTCTATTGCTGGAAGATATATGTTGTGCCTTCATAGCTATTGAATTTGCATAGAAAAACATTGGAATTCAGTGAAGATGTTTTGGAAGCAATGCCAGAAAACAGAGCTGTCTTGAAGTGCCTTTTCTCAGTAGTTTTCCATTTTCCTAAACTATTAGAAGTATTAATTTCTTTTCTTCAGATTGCTTTTCTGCAGTTACACCCTATTTCAATGTTGTGTTCTCTCCTGGTGTCTTTTAATCAAATTCTTGCCAGTCCTGTAGTTTTTAATGACACTCAACAAACGTTTGTTGTTTTCCAGGAGAGATAAGACCTTGTTC